GAATGAGAGAGCAGTGAAGCTGGAGGACTATTTCTCCAATATGGAGAAGTTTGCTCGCTCGGCTCGACACGGCAGCACTAAGAAGGGTGCTGGAGAGTAAACCCAGCGGGAGGTCTTCCGACTGAAGAAGATCCACCTGAAAATCACCAGGGAAGGGGGACAAAATACCGGGACGGAGTGAGGCGTCCGACCGGCTGAGGAGGATCCTGAGCAGGAGGACGAGCCATTGACGGAGAAGGAGATGCTGGAGGAGAACGAGTCCAGATCGACCGATTATATTGATTATACTATAGATATTTGTTATTATATACCTGCTGTATTGTCCACTTAACAAAATTGTTTTATATAAAATAAACATGGCGCCCTACGTGGCAGACGTGTTTGCTTGTTCCGCTCTAGAACGCTTTTTTTTTTTTTTTTTTGTATTTTTGACTCTTTCTGCAGTGCATTACTGTAATGCACTGCTAACGTATAACAGGCAGTCACTTTTAGGCATCGCTAATTCAAAAAGCATTTTTGAATTTAGTGGATTTATACCACCGGAGCTTCAAGCCATTGTTCGCTCCCGCAACGACCACCAGGAAGGTCCCGACGCACCAAGCTTGAGTGAGTATGCTGACCCCAGGAGAGTGCTCGGCAGACGGCGACAACTCATGGTGTGGAGATATACAGACTGTTTATAGACACTGTTCACCAGACGTGGAGTTTTTGCTGCTGAAATGCCGTCCCTACTGTCTACCGAGGGAATTCACTGCTGTGTTTCTGGCTGCTGTTTACATCCCCCCGCGAGCCGACTGTTTTGCTCAAACAGACGGGGATGTGTTCAAAGCTGCAGCCACAAGGGAGGACTCTTCTGTTAACGTACAGGACTGCGCAGAGTATGTGACCGGGTACATCTACACTTGTGTAGACAACATTGTGCCCACTATACAGGTCAGGAAGTTCCCCAACCAGAAGCCCTGGATTAACAGTCAGGTACGTCAGATGCTGCGTGCTCGCTCTGCTGCATTCAGATCAGGCATTGAGACTGAGTACAAAGCTGCTAAGTACCGACTGAGAAAAGCCATCAAAGTGGCAAAGAGGCAGTACAGAGAGAAGCTGGATGGCTTCTACTCCACTGCAGACTCCAGGCAGATGTGACAAGGCCTACAGCACATCACCGACTACAGGACCACCACCAGCTCCATCAGCGCTACAGACAGCCTACCGGAGGACCTCAACGCCTTCTACACCCGCTTCCACCTCCAGCTCCAGCACAGAGAGGCACACACACACTGGGATCACCCAAAAACAAGGACTCCTACATTAGGATGCTCTTTGTCGACCACAGCTCCGCTTTTAACACGGTCGTCCCCCACAAACTCATCCATAAACTCTCCACACTCGGTCTGCACCCCACCCTCTGTGACTGGCTGTTTGACTTTCTGACTGGCAGGCCTCAGTCTGTCAGGATTGGAAACAGGACTTCAGCCAGCATCTTCACCAACATCGGCACCCCACAGGGATGTGTCCTCAGCCCCGTCCTCTACACCCTGTTCACCCACGACTGTGTCGCCTACCACAAAGATAACATCGTCCTAAAGTTTGCTGATGACACCGCAGTGATAGGACGCATCACTGGGGGGAACGAAGCGGCATACAGGAGGGAGGTGGCCAGTTTGGTGTCATGGTGCGAGGAATACAACCTCACCCTCAACACTGACAAGACCAAGACCGTACTTCCTGAAGAGGCTGAGGAAGTTTGGGATGTCTCCCAAGATCCTCAGCAACTTCTACAGCTGCATCATCGAGAGCATATTAACCAGCTGCATCACCGTGTGGTACGGCAGCACATCCACCGTGGACCGCAAACGCCTGCAGAGAGTGGTGAGGACAGCAGAAAAGATCATCAAGACCCCACTGCCCTCTCTGCAGAGCATCTACCACCGCAGGGTTCACAGGAGAGCTGCCTCCATTCATTAAAGATCCCACCCACCCCCAACATCAAGCTTCTACCCTCACAGGAGGTACAGAAGTGTCAAATGCAGGACCACCAGACTGAAAAACTATTTTTTCCCCACTGCCATTAGAGCCATCAACAGCTGAGAGGACTCTATAACCTAATCCACAACTGCTCTGCACTTTAGCTTGTTAGGATTCACTTACTGTTACTGTACTGTTCATTTATATTGCACACATTTCATTTTATTTAAGTTTTTCTTTTACAACCTGCTCTGTTTTGCACTTTTCCTCCTTACCTCATTTCTGCCTTATCCTTACCTCATTTTTATTTTTTATTTCATGTACATTTTTATTTTAAAATTGGTCGACTTTCCGGAAAGGCAAGCACAAGAATTTCAATACACAGGGCGTGTGTAAATGACAATAAAATCTTTGAATCTTGAATCTTAAAGGTTGTCTAAAAATCAAATCTCTCTCTCCGTCTGTACCGACTCTCACTGAGAGCAGCATGTCGATCAATGTCAATAAACAATACACTGTGATTGATGATGATGATTATCATTATTTCTCTGTGCAGGTGACAAAAGTTCTACCTATCAACAAACTCAACAACTGGTCTGCTAATGTTTTCAGGATGAAACCCAAAGATTTTGAGTAGCCTAATTAAAGTGATGAGACAGGACACCAAGATGAATTCATTTTTAATGTGGGTCCTTTATTTGCCCCGACTGCCCTCCTGGAGCAATTTGTCAAATTAAGAAGACACTTAGGACAGAGTACAACAAACAAAACTGCTTTTTACTAAACTTCTGTATGACATGACAACATGGAATAGAGCCACATATAAAACAACAGTAGTGACTTCCTCCTGTTAAGCAGAGACAAAGAACATTCACATCTGTCTCATGCTGTTCAACACTTACATCACCGTTATTCTTCTAAAGGTTGAGAAAATAATGGACTCACTCGAGCGCCTGTGTGCACGGATCCATACATGTGTGATGTTGACTCACCGCAGCTTCTGTCTCCCTCTAAACAACGAATCAATGCAAAAGAAGCAGAAGCGACCGCGCATGCGTGAGGACCGTTCTGTAATTCTCACAGTAGCAAAGTCATCCGGCGGCGGGCCGCGAGTTTGACTCCTATGGTACTTAAAGTGTCACTTTCTCTAATCCTGTATGTGGACCATCTAGCAGTACGAACACCTCTCTGCCCCCACGTCACCCGGCTACATTTGTTTTTAGAAAAGTCCGACAGTTGTAACGTTTTTACTCATTGTCATGTACGGTAGTCTAGTGCGCTTGCGCAGGTACTGAGGGTTTTCCGGTAGTTGATGTGATGCGCAGACCCCCCCCCCACCGTGCTGCCCCATTCATGTATGTGTCACACATGACTCACCTGACATGAGAACGAGGACACAATTGAACAGGTGAAATGATCCATCCATAAGTTACACGCACAGATACATATAAATACTGTGTGTGTAGCTGCTCAACAACATAAAGAATCACAACACTTTCTGCTCAATGAAACGCATCATTTTTATTCATTTTACAGACTTTACATGCAATAAACACGAGACAAAATATAAGAGGATGTTTTTATTGATGATTTTAAGAAAGACACAGAAGAAGCTTATAAGCATTATTAACCCTTCATCTTTACAGAATACCATTAAGTATTAAGAGAAAAGCAACACACATTGTTGTAAGAAGCGCACTAAGACTAATGAATACAGAGAAGATGATACAGCTTCATAGCATCCTCTTCTGCCTCATGGATGTAACTCCACCACCATGTTAACATAGTCGTCTCCAACTGCGTCCTGCAGTGGAAAGAGTTTTAGTTACTATACATACTTATATATAGATGAAAACAGATGCAGCTTGTCTTTGTGTTACAGATGTGTCCGTGTCACAGAACAGCATGGGAGCAATGCACCACCTAAAGACCCAGGACCTGACGGTCAACTTTGGCAACTCCGTGCTAACGCCCACTTTAACCGCTAGGAACCTCGGCGTCACAATCGACAGCCAACTCTCCCTGACTCCCAACATCACTGCGACAACACGATCCTGTAGATACACGCTCTACAACATCAGGAGAATACGTCCTCTTCTCACTCAGAAGGCAGCGCAGGTACTCAGGTACTGATTCAGGCTCTTGTCATCTCACGACTGGACTACTGCAACTCCCTCCTGGCTGGTCTCCCGCTACCGCCATTCGACCTCTGCAGCTCATCCAGAATGCAGCACCTCGACTGGTCTTTAACCTTCCGAAATTCTCCTACACTCCTCCGCTCTCTTCACTGGCTACCAAACCCTACATCCCGACCCGCACTCTCCGCTCTGCATCTGCAAAACTGCATCGTCCCTTCCTCACTGGGAGCAAAACACTCGACTAGATCACAACTCTTTGCTGTCCTTGCTCCGAAATGGTGGAACGAGGTCTCTGAAGACACCAGGACCGCAGAGAGCCTTCACATCTTCCGCCGCAAACTAAAGACACACCTCTTCAGACTCTACCTCGACTAAAGACTAACAAATTGTAGCACTTAAATTGTACTTGTAACGCCACTCATCTATAGAAAATTGTAAATAGGCGTATTTGAGGAAATTGCACTTTCTTGTTTCTTGTTTTTCTGAGTTTGTATCCTATGGTTGAATGCACTTATTGTAAGTCGCTTTGGATAAAAGCGTCCGCTAAATGACATGTAATGTAATGTAAAGTAGGTAGAACATGTTAAACACACACACACGTGATAATGTTCACCATATCATCTTTATGAAGTGATGAAATGTCCATGTTGTGTTTACAGCTTCATGCACTGGCCCTTAATAAATTAATGCAGGTTTAAAGCTGTTCTAACTACGTTGTGTTTTAATAGTTCTTACATAGTCATTTTTGTAGGTTGTCATTGTGGATATTTTGTTCTTATGGATGAATGAATAGAAGCACTTGAAGAAGCTTTTATGGCACACAGCTTAGCAAAGACACCATCCAGCAGACACAGAGCATCATCAGCATTCATTTGGAGACGTGCTTCACTGCATTGGAGGAGACTCTGCTCTTTAAACATCACCACCATTGAAAGATTATTCCTGTGCTAATGTTGTAAACCAAACAAGGGCCTGATCATGAAATATCTCTCCTCTTCTGATGTCTTACCTCCTGTGGTTTGGTGCAGCGTCTTGATTTCAACCAGCTGGAAGGAAAAGAAGAAGGAATGATTTTGTTAGTGTGAGCGATCAGGACTGAGACTCCGGTGCAGAGGAATAAAACAACAGAAAGATTTATTTCCAGGGTTCTGATCTTTACTTCACTTTTTCTCTTTACAAAGCCAATGAAAAGCAGCAGAGACACGAGCAGACTTTACACGCTGGGGAGGGAAAAGCTAAAGCAGAGACGTTTGCAAGTTACTATGTGGTTATTATTTCACTTAAATGTAACATTTAGTTGTTTTGTTAACCTCCCACCACTTGGGGGCGTAAGGACGCTGTAAATTAGGCCACAAGGTCGATATAATCAGCAGCATTACAGGAACAGGTGGTTGTTATTGTGAGGAGCAAACAGTTTGTAAGGACGTGCAAGAAGGTGCAAGTGTTGTTTGATGGTGTATGATAACCAACGGAAAAAGTGTTATGATATATTATTAATTTAGAGAAGGAAAAGGTGGATGAAGACAAACAAAGAGATCTGTCTTCTGTTTGTATTTGGAGAAGAAATCAATTACCATCAAAGACAAACTGGACATTTTCAAAGATTTTTTCACGTGTTGAAACGAGCAGCAACCAAAAGCTTCTTTTGATGGTCAAAGGGGTCAAGTAGAATAAATGATTTGTCTTCTTTTCTTAAAGCAAACAGTGCAATTTATAATCGTATTATTAGGAGATGATGTATTTCAACAACAATAATAATAATAATACACTATGAGCCTTTCAAATGTCAGTGAGTAACAAGGAATGAGTTGTTATGTTTGACCTTCTGCATCTTATTTGCAGAAATTACTTCTGCAATTTATTCGTATTATCATCATTATGAATATTGATAATTAATTATGCATTAATGCATTACAACATTCACAATGACACAAACTGGTGTGTATCTGCACACAATCGTATTGTAGAAAAGGTTTTCTCACCACTCAAAGATGAGCAAAGTAGTGACGAGCAGAATGATTCCCAGGACCTTCACGATGACTTGAGCACCAACCAGTTGATCACCTGCAACACAACGACATGGTCACCTTTAAAATGTTATCACTCATAATTCCTGCAGCGACCTTCAAATACTAACAGATGTTCTGTCGATAGCTGAATGTGCAGCTCATTTCTGCATCCACAATAACACAATGTGCCTCCATCACTGCTGGTCACTTCACAGCCATGAAGACTTGATGATGATGAGAAAAGATCAGGGGTCTCTTTGTTAAAGCAGTGCGAAGGATCCCCTCTAAATATGTGCACACGTTCAAAGGAGGAAATGCACGCACTCCAAAACACATCCAGATGTGTAAAGCATCGCGTTGCCAGTGAGCCATTTCCTTTTAATAAATCCCTAATGAACCTGTGAAGGTGCACGACTGAACAAAAAGCTGCATCTCTAACTGAGTAACAAACTAATACAGTTCTGTGTTTACCTCCTATATTCAGATGGATCTCTGATGATGTTTGATCACCAAGCTGATTGGTGGCCACACAGTAATAAACTCCTCCATCAGTGACATTGAAGCTGTAAAAGTCTCCTTCAGATACTTTGATTGGTGCATCTCTGCTGGTCTTGAACCAGGTGAAGCGGCTCACAGGAGGTTTGGCTCTGCTGGAGCAGGTCAGGTTCACCCGGCTACCTGCTGACACCCGACCTGATGGACTGATGGACACCGAGGTGTCCTTGGGAGCATCTGAGGAAAATGTGACATTAAAACTTTAAGCAGCTGACATCGTGTGAACACATGAATCATCATATGCTGACAGGATCAAAGAACAAACACTCACATGAAACACTGAGAGTCTTTCTCTCCTCTGACGTCTTTACATCTTTTCCTTCATTTACAGGATATCTGGCAGAACAGGTGATGATGAATCCATCATGTTCATGTGACAGAGTGATGCTCTTCTGGATTCTAGTTGTGAAGGTTCCATCTGTGTTTTCCTCCATCATGTGGTGAGAGTCTGGTTGGAGGTTCCAGGTGAGTTGAGGAGGAGAGTGTGGACAGGGAGTGGAAGCTGAGCAGCTTATAGAGACAGACTCCTTCTCCTTCACATCACCTGAGATCTCAATCCTGGGCTTTGGAGGAGAATCTGTGGTTTCAAATCAAACACAGATTGTACACTGAAAAAAGAGCAACAAGACTTGAGTCTACAGTCTGTGATGAAAGTACTCTTCTACATTTGAGAGCAAAATGTTTTTCTTTTACTCCACAATCAGATTGTCACGATCCAGCGCTCCCCTTCCCCGGAGTACTGAGGCCTTCAATATCTGGTCCCCAAACTCCCCCCGTTTACTGTCCAGTTGGTCTGTCCCATTTGGTGTTGGTTTGTTCCATTGTGTGTCTGTCTGTTGTGCATGCCCACTCATCCCTACACGCCTGTGTCTGGTTCCCCATTAAGCTGGTCTGTATATATACCCCTTATCCCTCTGTGTTCTTTGCAAAGTCTCGTGTAATTATCATCACGTTCTGAGCGTTATTTGGATCTCCTGTTTTGTACTCTCGTTGAAGACTCCTTTTTGTTCTAGACCTCGTTGCCTCCTGCCTGATCCCTGTCTGTACCTTTGCCTATCTTCGTGCTCCTGGATTTTGACCTCCTGCCTGTCTTCTGGATACGACTAAGCCTAATCCCTGTGTACCTGTTATTCATTAAATCTGCCCTCTGCGCTTGGGTCTACTCCTGTCTCCTGTGATGCGTTACACAGATGCAGCATCTCTCCGTCACTGCATGGAATAATATATATATATATATATATATATATATTCATAAATTAAGTTGTGTTTCCTGCAGCGATTTTAGTCCCAAACACTTGATGAAAAGTCAAATACTACTTGGCTCAAGATGCAAAGTACTAAAAGATTTGTTTTAAATGACGAGGCCGTGTTCTGCAGTTATTCAACAGTTCACGTTATCGGATGATGACGAATCCATCAGCTGAACCACAGAAGACCAAGAGTGACTCGTACAGCAGAGAGTAGGAGAACTAAATATTAGATATTAAGCAACATTTGATTTTAGGTTTGAGTTGGTTTACAACTTTAAATATTGAAACGTGTGTACAGTTATATACACTAGTACAAGAACTAATGACTCTGCTGGTTTTACTGTTAATGATGAAGAGGATCTATTGCTGCAAAGTAATGTGGGATAGATGTTAAATATATGATGTTTTGTTCTAATGACGCTTCTCAGATTTCATTTTCACAGTACGACTTCAATTCACCATCTGTGTCTCCAAAACGTCAAAATTGTTTTTATAGATTATAACTTCTGTTTTTAAAGTGGCTCGGCCTCTTGTGCAAACGCCATGAATATAAATGAGAACTTAAATGTGTAGAAAACAAAATCTATGGCAACAAAAAGCTGCATCTTTAACTGAGTAACAAGTGTAATACAGTTCTGTGTTTACCTTCTATAGTCAGATGGACCTCTGATGATGTTTGATCACCAAGCTGATTGGTGGCCACACAGTAATAAACTCCTCCGTCAGTGACATTGAAGCTGTAAAAGTCTCCTTCAGATACTTTGATTGGTGCATCTCTGCTGGTCCTGAACCAGGTGAAGCGGCTCACAGGAGGTTTGGCTCTGCTGGAGCAGGTCAGGTTCACCCGGCTACCTGCTGACACCCGACCTGATGGACCGATGGACATCGAGGTGTTCTTGGGAGCATCTGAGGAAAATGTGACATTAAAACTTCATGCAGCTGACATCGTGTGAACACATGATTCATCGTATGCTGACAGGATCAAAGAACAAACACTCACATGAAACACTGAGAGTCTTTCTCTCCTCTGACGTCTTTACATCTTTTCCTTCATTCACAGGATATCTGGCAGAGCAGGTGATGATGAATCCATCATGTTCATGTGACAGAGTGATGCTCTTCTGGATTCTAGTTGTGAAGGTTCGATCTGTGTTTTCCTCCATCGTGTGGTGAGAGTCTGGTTGGAGGTTCCAGGTGAGTTGAGGAGGAGAGTGTGGACAGGGAGTGGAAGCTGAGCAGCTTATAGAGACAGACTCCTTCTCCTTCACATCACCTGAGATCTCAATCCTGGGCTTTGGAGGAGAATCTGTGGTTTCAAATCAAATACAGATTGTACACTGAAAAAAAAGCAACAAGACTTGAGTCTACAGTCTGTGATGAAAGTACTCTTCTACATTTGAGAGTGAAATGTTTGAATTATTATTTTTTGTTTATTTTAGTCACTTTTCTGATGTTTCTGAATGTCAGCAGATTCATCAACATTTCTCCTCTGAACTTCTCACATGGCTTCATTTAACCACCAATCTCATGACCCTTCAGATTTAATTTGTGACCCTCTATTAGGAGAAAATAAAATGTTGACTTTCACAAATTAATGTTGTCAAAACGCTGATGGTAAATAGTCCACAAAAGGAAACTTTTGTAACTTCTCCTTTTCTAAGCATTAGATACAAAAGTTGGCATGTACGTGCAGCCCAGCCTGAACTTTTAATGTGTTTTTTAACTTTACCTTTTTTTTTGATGATCCTTTTTAATAGTTTAACTGTATGTGTATATTATGTTTGTCAGGAGCTATGAATTTCTCTTGAATTTCTTTAATAATAGTAGTGATAAATTCATATCATTTCAATCTCTGGTTGGTGTCTGTAGATATTTATAATCACATTACAAGTTTGAATAAAACAGAGACAAGTAGAAGGTAAAGCCTAGTTTAAGCTTCTGCCTTTTCACACCTCCTTGCGTCCTTGCGTGTGTCGGCCCATTTTTCTAGGTTTGCGTCGAAAGTGCCGCAGCGCACCAGGCTGCGATTGGTCCGCTAACTACGTCCTTTACGGAGTCTCACATTTCCGTTTTCATAGCCCGATACCGCCATTATTAAAACGAAGAATGTTTACGAGAGAACGGATCAGATTGAAGAACTTTTGTCGGAAGAAATGCATAAATATGACCCGGGTTGGATTCATGGAGGGAGATCTCCGCAAACGGCGGTTTGCCGGTCGAGAGGTGCACAAAGTTGTGGAGGAAAATACGACAAATGTGTCCGCGATGAAAAGCAACCGTGTCGATGCACGGGGCAATAAAGTGCATGATAAATAAATAAACAAACCAACAACTTCCACACACAAAGACGTGACTCTCTAAGTCGTCTTCAACAGAAACACGTTACTCCGCCTGTTGTTCTGGCGGTGAATTGCTCTGCAAGACACGCAAGACTTTTAGAACCATGAATTGAAGCGAGTGCGTCGACGCAACGACGCAGACGCAGAAGCAGAAGCGTGCGCAGCCTTAAGTAGTAACATCTCAGATTGTTTTATGGAAAACAAAAGTCTCTTACCTTTCACTGTTATTTGTAATCCATCACATTCAGCTGTTGCTAGAAATGGCCGGTTCTCAACCCTGAAGTAGTATGTGTCTGTGTATGTTGTGTTTAAACTGGAAAATAAAGTGGTGCAGTTTTTCTGACTCAAGTCTCCAGTAAAACTCATCGGATACGTGGAAACTGTCCCACTACTGTTGAAAATCACCTCACTTCCATTTTTGCCAAAGTAAGGGATATTTTTAAACCACACTCCAAAGGTTGTAGTTTTGCTGTTTAATTTCTCTCCTTGTTTAAGTCTGAAGTTACATGGAATTTGCAAACAAGATCCAGTCAGTGCTTCCATCTCTTTTGGTGCAGTGATGATTAGATGTCTGGTCTTATAACAATCATCAGAAGCTCCTGTGAAACAAACTAATGATTAACAGTGGTGATTAAAATGTGTAAAAACACAACGATAACATGAACACAAAGAGAAATATACTTCAGCAGTAATGTTTTGCGTTGTGTTCTTTTTTTCCCTGAACAGTTTTTGTGTTGATTCATCTTTTTGGTTTTACATCTTTCCCCCACAAGGCCGAGCCCAGTGGGACCAAACCCGTCTCTGTCTCCAAATAACTACGTCACTTTTGTCTCCGTGATAAAAGAGCTCAGCAGGAAAACACAGATTGTAACATTCACATGAATTTAGGTTGAAATGATATTTTCCAAACAGTAAATGATTGAAGTGAAACACAAGTGAGTGAAGATGAAGCTCACCTGAGAGGAAGAAGACACTGTGCAACACGATGGCTGTCACCATCCTAACAGACTGGTCGGCCATGACACTCACCACCTGATTCACAAACACAACATCAGTGTTCTAGGAAGCGTTCAACATGCTGTGTGCAACCACAAGTTCCTGTGTGTGAAGAGACCACAGCTCACAAGTCTGTGGACGAGTACGACTCTGAGTGTTGGATGAGAATAAAACTATGAATGTCTCCCTCTTACCAAAGAAGCCCACGTCCATAACAGAGGGACAATTAGATCAAGTGCAGGTCTTTGTTTTAGCAGAGTTCTCCCCTTAACTGCTCATATCCGTGAGTCTATATCATCTTTATGTATCACACACATCACAATAATAATAATGTAGCATTAACAGTCAGTGACTTGAGTTTAGTCACTGTGAATAACTCTGAGTCTCTGTTGCTCTGCATTAC